CCAGCCGGTGGCCGTGCGGGAGACGCCGCGAGTCCGGCAGGTCGCCTTGCGACGGGGATCCGCCATCTTCCTTGTCAACGAGCGCCTGGCGCTGGGGCCCACCGGCATCTCCTCCCACGATTTCCTCTACGATGTGGACCCCCGGCCCGCTTTGGGCACAGCCTCCAATGTCTGCTTCGACGTGGATGACGTGCCGGGGCTCTGCAAGCAACTGCAAAGCCGGGGATGCTCCCTGCCGGTGCCCCCCACCGAGGTGAGGGATGATGGTGGCTCCGTCACCTACGGAGTGGCGAGCTCCATCGTGGGCAACGTCAGCCATACCCTTCTGGACAGATCCCGCTACCGGGGACCCTTCCTGCCCGGCTTCCAGCCCATCCAAGGAGCCCCCTTGGCCACCGGGGATGGGATTGCGATCACCCACTTTGACCACATCACATATGTCTGCCCGCCGGGCAGCGCCCGGGCAGCTCTGGCCTGGTACCAGTGCTGCTTCGGCTTCTGAACCCACAGGAGAGGCCAGCTGAGGGGTACGTGCTCGGCGGGCAGGGGGTGGGCATGCTGCTCCTCGCGCTGCAGAGTGCCCAGGGTGCTCCGGCACATGGCTGCAAGCTCGTCCTCGCTGAGTCCCTCTCGGAGAACGGCACCAACCAAGTCGACACCTTCCTAGAACAGCACGGTGGTGCCGGGATCCAGCACGTCGGCCTCTGCACCACCGATATCGTTGCCACAACCAGGGCTTTGCAGCAGGGGGGTGCACGGTTCTTCACGCCCCCTGCTGCCTATTACAGCCAGGGGGGCAAAGCAGAGGAGATCCGGGGGGCTGGGCAGGACCCCCAGACGCTGGCAGAGCTGGGCATCCTGCTAGACACCACAGCAGCCAGGGACAAGGGCCAGCCGGGTGCTGATGCCACAGAGAGCCCTTCCCAGGAGTATTTGATGCAGATCTTCACCCATCCCATCTTCTCCGAGGACACCTTCTTTCTGGAGCTCATTGACCGTCGGGGAGCACCAGGCTTCGGGGAAGGCAATATACGGGCACTGTGGAAAGCTGTGCAGGTCTATATGGACCAGCAGCAGTAGTGGCAACACTGCAATCCTCCTCCTTCAGCTCTCCGTCCTCCCCGGTCCAACCCTGGGGCAATATGCTGCTGTAGAGATACCAGCGGGTGCCTGTGGCATGGCCCGGGTGGGCAGGGACCAAGGGAGGTCTCCAGGTCAACCCAGAGCCAACATCAGCGTGACAGCAGGTTGCTTGGAGCCAGGTGCAACGGGACTCTGAGCATCCCCTGGGATGGAGGGCAATTTCTCCCCCTCCCTGGGTTCCCAGTGAGTTATCGGCCTCACGTGAAGAACTTTCTGCCTTAATTTTGTCTTAATCTAATCAGACTTGTGCCTCTAGCGTGGCCAAATACACTGCTGTCAGAGCAACACCCCCAGGCGTAGGAGATGAGGAGCTGCCAGAGCGGAGTGGATAACCCAGGGTCCATGGACACCACCCAGAGCATGGCCAGCCCCTGTGTGGGGCAAGTGATAGCCTTTTGCTCCTCCCAATTAAAGAATTAACCTGCAAGTACTGCTTTGAGTTTTTTCTCCTCCCATTTAAGATGTGCCAATTGCCAGGTGAGGATAAAAGGACCCTTTCCACCCCTCGAGCAGGGGGGCTGTCCCCAGTCTTGCAGTCCCTAAACTGAGGCCACTTGCCCCTTGCAGATCCCTAGGACTGGCCCCTGTCCCTGCCAGCCCCAGGCAGGGACACAACCC